TCTGATTTCCATCTCTCTCTCTCTCTCTCTCTCTCTCTCTCGCTCTCTCTCTCTTTCTCTCTCTTTCGCGCTCTCTCTCTCTCGCCTGCTCGCGCACACACACACACGATGCGCAAAACTCCGCATTTGAACAGTCAATAGCAAATACTTAAACTAATAGCAAAGAGTCTTAACTTTGATAAAGAATATCTCTTTGGTTTTGAGACTTTAGTCTTTGCAACTTCAGGGATCTTATCTATGCACAATCAGCTTGTAACACTCCAAAGAGAAAGGAAAACTTGAAATCGCATCATATGACCCCTTTAAAAAATAGGGGAATCACATAAATCAGGTTTATTATGTTAGATATAATTTAGACAAAATTAACATTTTAGTAATAGGGTTGAAAAAAAATCCAAACCTCACATAACAAATAGAAAACAAAGCATATCATATAAAAAGCTGCTTAAAGTGCATGAGCAACGTTTCCCTTTTTTCTGAAATTGATAATGACATTTGATGTTGTTTTTTTAATCAAGATTACTCTGGCGGGCATTCTAGATTATCTGTTCTCAGACATCCAGTTACTGACGTCATTGGCATTGTCACTGTTTCTGATGGTCATAATGCAACTTGACTGCACACTAATGTCAATCCTGGGACAATGAATGCTCCCATCAAGGCTAAGACAGCACTCTCAAACCCTTTAGAAATGAAGATGAGCGCTCCCTCCTCTTCTCTCAGACGTGGCCTTGGTGCATACAGGATGAAATAACTCTCTTCTCTTCACAGATCTGTGTTTAAGTGATGCTTCACTACATCATCTTCGTCCCCCTCCTCATCTATCTCATAGCATGTAGCTGTGTATTTGTCCACGTTTGCTCGGGCCACTGGGGTCTTGCTCCATGCTATGTGTGTCTCTTACGTTTTATCTGTTGTGTTTGTCTTTGTCTTGTCATTTGTCGTCTTTTCACAGTGGATTTTGCATTGAAGTAATGAGCGCTCTAACAGTGCTCGTTGCCTCAAATGTGGGCGTTCCTATAAGCTCCACCCACTGCAAGGTATTGGTATAGTAGTGAAGCTTTGGTAGTGCTAAACTCCACTCCCATAGCTTCACTAGCGTAATCACCGAACAGCCAATCAGTGCTCACCTCTGCAAGCATGTAACTCCATGATTGCAGCTTTGATTCACTTATATGATTCATACTTTTTTTCATCTGCTTAGTTGTTTTAAAGATAATGCATTAATTGAAGTCAGTATGCTTTTAAAAGGTACTGTGTAGTGCATACATTGTAGTCCAGACGCTAAACATGTTAACCAAACCATGCCACTTGCAGCGATTCCATTTAAAAGTAGGTAATTTCTCATCATTAGCATAGGTCAACAGCCTAAACTGTTCACATTAACCTAATACTTGCAAGAAATAAGTCCAGCAACCTCATCCAGTCAGAAATCAATACAAAAGCCTGTTTACTTTTTGTCGCTACACATTCCTGGAGCACAAATGAACTGACCTCTATTTATTCTCTATTCTCTTGCATGTGCTTTGTGATGTTTTTGTAGGGGTTTTGGGATGCTTTGTGATACAAGGGCAGTCAAAGGCTTGAAGCATGTTTGGCTTCAGATTGATACCTCATTCAACTTCATGACCTCTATTCAGATTTATAAACTTCTTGTAAAATCTTTCTAGTGCTGTAAAACCTGGATTGAGGTGAAAGGTAGTGGGCATGAGGTTCAGTTTGGTTTGGGGCTGTTAAGCTAACATGGTAATTTGGTGTGGTTTAAAAAGAATAACACAATAAAATAATGTATATATAATGTGTGTGTGTGTATATACATATATATATATATATATATATATATATATATGTATATATGTATACAGTCGTGTGAAAAAATTAGGACACCCTATTGAATTCCATGGTTTTCTACATCAGGACATAATAAAAAAAAATATCTGGTCTTTGGCAGGTCTTACAATTTGGAAAATAAAACCTCAGATGAACAACAACACATGACATATCACACCGTGTCATTATTTATTTAACAAAAATAAAGCCAAAATGGAAAAGCCATGTGTGACAAAGTTAGGACACCCTTACTGTTAACACAGGAATTAAGAGGGTAAGTAGCAGTCAGGCTCTGCTAATCAAATACATCTGATTAACTGATCATCAGCAAGAGTGAGCACCTCTATAAAAGAAGTTTTAGCAGTTTGCTGGTCTGGAAACATCAGGTGTTTGTTAACAGAATGTCAAAGAGGAAAGACATCAGCAATGACCTTAGAGAAGCAATTGTTACTGCCTCAGTCTGGGAAGAGTAATACGGCCATTTGCAAAGAATTTGAAGTCCATCATTCTGCAGTGAGGAAGATTATTCACAAGTGGAAGATATTCAAAAAAGACACCAATCCTCCCAGGAGTGGACGTCTCAGCAAATTCACCACAAGATCAGACCATGTAACGCTCAGAGAAATGGCAGACAACCCAAGAACTTCACTGCAGACTCCACAGGCCTCAGTTAACATGTTAAATGATCAAATTCATGACAGTACAGTTAGAAAAATATGGGACAAGAATGTTTGGAAGGCTTGCCAGAAGAAAGCTGCTTCTACCTAAAAAAGCATGGCAGCACAGTTTAGGTTTGCAAAGTTGCATCTGAACAATCCATAAAACTTCTAGAACAATGTCCTTTGAACAGATGAGACCAGGGTAGAGATGTTTGGCCATAATGCACAGCAGCCCGTTTGGTGAAAACCTAAAGAGCATATCAGCACAAACACCACATACCAAAAGTCACCCATGCTGGTGGAGGGCAGATGATTTTGGGCTTGTTTTGTAGCCACAGGGCCTGGAGGCCTCACAGTCATTGAGTCGACCATGAACTCCTCTGGATACCAAAGAATTCTAGAGTCAAATATGAGGCCATCTGTCCGACAGCTAAAGTTGGGTCAGTATTGGATCATGCAACAGGACAATGATCCAAATCACAGCAGCAGATCTACAACAGAACGGCTGAAAAGAAAAGAATCAAGGTGTTGCAACAGTCCAGTCAAAGTCCAGACCTCATCCTGACTGAAATGCTGTGGCAAGAGCTGTGCATAAACTTGAATATAAACTGGAGCAATGTTGTGAAGAAGAGTGGGCCAAAATTCCTTCAGAATGATGTGAGAGACTGATGAAGTCATACAGAAAATTATTACTTCAAGTTATTCATGCTAAAAGTGGAGCTACAAGCAATTGAATCATAGGGTGTCCTAACTTTGTCACACATGGCTTTTCCATATTGGCTTTATTTTTGTTAAATAAATAGCCTAATGATGCGGTGTGACATGTCATGTGTTGTTGTTCATCTAAGGTTTTATTTTCCAAATTTTAAGACCTGCCAAGGATCAGATGATTTTTTATCATGTCCTGATACAGAAAACCATGGAATTCAATAGGATGCCCTTTCTCTTTGTTGTAAAGAAGAGTGGGCCAAAATTCCTCCAGAATGATGTGAGAGACTGAAAAAATCATACAGAAAATTATTACTTCAAGTTATTACTGCTAAAAGTGGATCTACAAGCAATTGAATCATAGGGTGTCCTAACTTTGTCACACATGGCTTTTCCATTTTGGCTTTATTTTTGTTAAATACATAATGGCACAGTGTGATATGTCATGTGTTGTTGTTCATTGTTTATCTGAGGTTTTATGACCTGCCAAGGACCAGATCATTTTTTATTATGTCCTGATACAGAAAACCATGGAATTCAAGAGGGTGTCCTAACTTTTTCACACGGCTGTGTGTTTATATATATATATATATATATATATATATATATATATAT